TGGCTGCCACCACCAGGCCCTGCTGGGGGCGTTCTCTGGCGAGTGTTATTCCTCTTAGCTCTACGGGCCAGCAAGCCCCACCGCAGCCATCTCGAAACCCATCTCATCTCTCCCGTCTCACTCCCGTTGCTCTTGCTACTGCTGCACTGCCATCTTTCTGCCTTTCATGTTACAGCTCCTTTCTGTCTCGCTCTCTCTCCATGTCTCCCTTTAGGTCTAGAGGGAAGGGAGAACTGACCAATCCTCTCCCTAGGGTTCCCTACAACTTATTTGCATGATTTCACCCCCACAAGGGTGCCATGCACTTTATTTACATTATTAGCAAGGTATCCAATCCCCTTGGTGAGCCACAAGCACCTCATTTGAATAGTCACACCCAGTCATTTGGTGGGAGTTTCAAAGACTACGGCTAGAAGGGCCATACTAAGTAATTCACTGCACCACAGCAAGGTTAACAAGTTCATTTCTTAGAAAAGTGTTCTGAATATGTATTAATTTGCATATATCCCTGCTGACTGCGAGGAACCCTGGGGGCACAGTGGTTAAGAGCTCAGGCTGCTAACCAAAAGGTCAGCAGTTCAAATCCACCATCCCTCCTTGGAAACCCTGTGGGGCAGTTCTACTCTGTCCTGTAGGGCCGTTATGAGTCAGAAGTAACTCGAAGGAAATGCAAATATTTTCTACTTTTTCTGGCAAAAAAGTCTTACACGAGGATGTTGATTTTTAATAACTCAAAGAATTGCTTCCAATAAGTGCTTCCTTGTGCTTTTTTGAAGTATAAAATAGCAAGAATGTTGCCTGAAATTCATATTGTATTGAATACTAGCCTATGGTTTGGTCTCCACTTTCCTCTAGTTAGTAATGCTCTTAATTGAAAAATGTAACCCAACAATAAGAACCTCAGATGGGATTTTTTTTTGGGGGGGGGGGCGGTTGGGGAGAAATAGATTCTGTGCTCACAAGTCTAGTACGTCTTATCCCCAAATATTTGCTTGGGGTTAGCTAAAATTTAGTGAGTGTAGAAATGTATCTCACCACCTTATCCAATAAGATGTCGTCATTTACTTTTCAAAGGAATATAAGTGAAAAATACATCTTCTTTCACAAATTCCGGGTAATATATTATCCATATAGAGGTAAATGTACAAAGAAATTTTAATTCCTCCCAATTCACTTTTGCTTTTTTTGGTATCCACCATAACCCCAAGAACAGGATCTAGTCAATTAAAGTTGTTTTTTCTCAATCTTTGACATTTTGCCTGCCAGCAGGGAAGTCTCTGACAGCCTCCTTGAGGCTTCCTTTGCCCCAGGCTCTCATATCTGGGAGATAGCCTGCATCCCAGGATCATCAGAGGAATGTTGCCTTCCTACGTATCTGAATGATGCAAACCTTTACCTGAGTCTCAGAAAATTATTTTCAACATTTCTTTTTCTTTAAAAAGATAATTTTATACAATTAATATACAAAAAAAAAACAAAACCCTCAAACATGTTGCCATCGAGTCAATTCCGACTCATAGCAACCCTATACGACAGAGTAGAACTGCTCCATAGGGTTTCCAAGAACGGCTGGTGGATTCGAACTGCCGACCTTTTTTGGTTAGCAGCTGAGATCTTAACCACTGCGCCACCAGGGCTCCCTGCTGATATACTTACAAGCAAATTAAATATGACTTCAGATTATATTTTAATTTTAAGACACCATAGCATTGAGGGTATATTTAACATACCGATAGCTTTAATTCTTTAAACGTTAGAACATTCCCTATAAACTTCCAGTAATTAGGTGTCTCAGTAAAGGTAATGTAGTGGAAATA